AATTAATAACATTAACAACGAGTAATAACGGTGTTAAAATGGAGGTCAACGACGACTAGCCGCCGCGACACCGTAAGGCGACACCGAGGGCGTCGTAATTTTCTTGCTCTCCGATTTCATTCCCCAGAGAGTGAACCAGGTTGCTGTACCCTTTTCCGCTCGAAATAATTAATATACAAGGCACGGGAGAGCGATTCGAAGGCGGTGGGATTTCGGTCCGAGCATCCGCTAGCACACGAAGAGAACCCTCTCCGAGGAATCGACGAAAACCATGAAGTGCTAATGTGCCTCCCGTAAAGACCTGCCGACCCGACTCACCAACCTGTTCATAAAAAATGAACGTGGTCTTCAGCAGCGTTTCCAGGATTCCTGCACGCGAGCCCTTTCGGTATCCGCGAGTTTTCGGGTAAAAACGCGAAGGAAGGTGTCGAGTTATTTTTTTTGAAAAGAAAGGGATAATCGGTTCGGCGCATTGGTTTTCCAAGGGAACGGAATCAGTCGTACAGGAGCGCGTATCGAGCCTAGTATTTTTCCGCCCCTCCCCCTCCCCCCCCCCCGGGGGGTTTATTTTCGCTCACGCGACAGGCTCGAAGTTGCCATAAATTCAGCGACGCAAAGAGAAACGAAACTCAAGAAGGCACGAGATGCTTTATGTTTCGCATCACGCGACCGACCGATAACATTAACGAACCAATCCCTGCCGTCCCGTGGTTTCTCGGACGGTTTTCCACCCTTCTGAACGTCAAGGCTGAAAGTTATCGTTCCGTTGGTCCCTTCAGCCCTCTTTTCCCTCGTTCCTCCAGGCCCCCAGGTTCGCGAGTTCCCTCTTTTTCTCCACGGAATGCGTTCATCGCCCTTTCATTCTTTTCTTTGGCCCACTTTTGTGTTTCGCGTGGCTGTCGACGGTGTTCATTAGACACGCTACCGATTTTTTATGACACGCTGCGGACGATAAGGATACAATACATACGTCTTTATCGTCGACCTGTAATTATCGCGCCCCTCTCGCCATGCTTTTCAAGGGGTTACACGTGTGAAGGACGAGAGGGAAGTGGACGATTTCTATTGTTTCGCGCGAAACGATTAACCGACAGTGCTAATCGAGAAAGTCTTTTTCATGAAACCAATAATTTCAACAAACACGATCAAGGAGAAAAACACGAATTTTACGTTATCTCGAAACAAAACAGATCCTTTAATCATCCTCGCGTGCGCCACAGCCCCTACAGGCCGTGCGTTCGATCACAGGGACAATGCCATGGAATTTACGACGTCGCGATTAACCTTTTGTGTAGCTCGGTCTTTGTGGCGTTTCTCTTGTGGGGGTAACAGAAACGAATTCGTTTCTCGGCGAATTGTTTGTTCATCGTTTACGACGGACGGTGATTCGTAAATGTCTCGGACTAGAAAATCTACTTTTCTGATTTACACCCTCCAAAGGTACAAAGGAACATCTTGACCTCTTGAATCATATTAATTTATTCAGTTAATTCAGTTGACGTGATCACGGATGCAACTTGATACGAGTTACGCTGCAAAAGGTTAAAATAATAGAATTATCAACACCCGCAACGACTCCGAGGTCTACGTATATCGGCTCGGCCTATCGCGAGCTCGAGAGCGATTCGACTTGAATTCCTCCAACAGCTCGGCACTCGACTTCGAAAGCCTCCTAGCACAGGTGTTTTCATTTTCCAGCCGTGTCGACTCTTTTCCCGCTTTAATCCCTCCCGACCTCTCTCTGTTTCACCCTCTCTTCTCGCTACCTGTTCACTTTCATCGAAAATACACAGGAGCGAAGTGCACGGCTCCGTTCCACAACGAACACATTCCATTTTAACCGCGTAACGGTTCGATAACGATCGGATTTTGCATCGGGAGCACCACGGCTCGTACACGATACTTATTTCCGCTTTTCGTTGAAACATTTCCCTGCACGCGAGCACGAGACACGCTTTTTTTCTTCTCTAGTCGACACTTCCGAGTTGAACAAACATTTTGTACATACGTACACGGACGACGAATCTCGTCTAATATTTACTCTGTTCCTCGGCAATGCACAATATACTCCGCGTTCCAAGGATTTATCGACAGGGCGTTCCGCATTGCCGTTAGAAAATCTCAAAAATCAAACTTATTTTCGCGATTCTCTGTATCCCCTTTAACGCAGGCTGGTGCCGCGAAGCGTCATTCGCGACAGGCTAAATTAGCTAAGAGTGCCTTTGATGTCTCAGCTGCTTGGTCGTTCGTCGAAAGATACGCGAGAGGCAGCCGTCTCTGTTCGTCGGTTAGCTATTCATGGTGTCGACGGTATTCGCGGACGAAGGGTCCTTCTCCTGGCCAAGAAGACGTCTGCTGGCTCCTGTGAGCGAGGAGCGAGCTACGATTTTCATAAACCTTTATTGCCCAGGGCCGCTGTCACCGTAGCCGAATCGCGAACCAAAGAAAAGCTTAAGCGCTGACGACAGTTTGAGAGATCCTCCCGACGACTTCTCCCCGGTATCCCGTTTGCGAGAAATGTACTCTCCTCGTCGAGACGTCCTTTCTTTTCGGCTCGTACCGCGACTTGAACGCCGCAGGAAATCCGCGCCTACCCCGTTTCGAAGAACGTTTCTACGTTTTCCGTCGGCCCCTCCTCCCGCTCTCATCGCTCCTCCAGGGTTCTTTTCATACGTTCTTCCATTTTTCCCCTCGTTTCTTCGCTCCCTCTCAACGCCAGATGCCACTAACTGCACCCTCCGCTGATGAGATCCTCTCAACCTGTGCCTGTTCAGCTCCTTCCACCCAGCCACAGGCTTCCTTCTACTTAGGCGTCTTCGGGAGCCTCGATCCAGTCACGTGGATCCTCGAGTTTCCGTGATTTTCGATAGGTGTATTCGATAGGTGGAAGAGCAGACGAATCGAGACGTCGAGCGTGTCGATCCAAAGTCACGACGCGTAGCTCGAGCGCGTGTCGAGTCCCAAAACGATCGTCAATCCGTCGCCAAGATCCCCATTTTCCGCGCGTGTGACCCATTCGCGAGAATGCTGGGTAATTCTGTTCGAGTGAACGTCCCGATACGCGACACCGCAGCCGTGATTTAAGTCTCCACGGAATTAGCACGGTAGCCCATTAAACCGGACAGAGAGTCGTTGGCGCGGCCTCTCTCGTGGACTCTTTCCAGAGTATCCAGCGGAGAGTGCCGGCTTAAAAGTATTCCGTGGTTGACCCCTGGGATAGTATGAATTGCTCTTAAAGCCGAGCCTCGACCCGTATATTAACCTCCGTTTTAATTAATCACCCGCTGGATGAGCGCCGACACCCGTGCACGCGCGCGAAACGGGGCTGCGAAACTTGACGAATTCGCCGCCCCGTTATTGCCCCACGGTCCCTGAAATTCCGTCGTTCGAACCCTACGCAAATTTATTCCACGCTGAAACTGTTTACGCAATAAGGGCGCCCGATCGAATAACCGCGAGTATTTATCGCGCTGGAAACGCACTTGTAAACACTCGTCGATTCTTGTAATGAAATTCCGTCGAATCTTCGACATGGTTCGATATATTTACGAGTCCATTCTTGATTATGTTTATGCGACAAGGGCTAGGGTGTAGATCAAGTAACGAGAATATTTATCGCGCCAGGTACCATTAACGAGAGAACGATTCATCGCTTGCAGTAATTGACACGGTGAAAGGCGGCAACTACTGTCCGTCGTTTGGTCCCAGAGGTTTCCAATCGCGGGTGTAACTATTTGTACACGTTAATAGCAATTTGCGGAAGAGGCGCGCGTCCAGACTGTCGCACCGTGGTCAGTTTTAACAATCTAGGCGAGGGATGAGAACGTCCGCGGCCATTTGCCATATCTCGGGGTACAGTCTCTTTTCATATTTTGTCAATTTTGTATCTAATTTGTTTACAACGTATACCGGGTAACGGTAACGGAGAGAAACGTTAATTTAAAAGTATATTAATACCGCTAACACTATCCTGTAGAACGGGAGTATTTATCGCGTCTGGACCGTTAACAAGAGAAGGATTTATCGCTCGCAGTAATTGACACGGTGAAAGGCGGCAACTACTGTCTGTCGTTCGACCCGGAGGATTCCAATTGCGGGTGTAACGCGCGGCTATTTGTGCACGTTTAATAGCAATTTGCGGAAGGTGCACGTGTCCTGGCTGCCAAACGCTTCCTATGACAATTTTAACCTGATACTTTTGGATATTGGAACTTACCATCGATTTAAATTCCGTGTCGGAAATTGTAATTATAAATTAAAATTCGAAACGTTAAATTTAAATGCAGATGGAAACCGATGGAATTTTCAGTTCATTTCCTTGATCCACCGATGCTTTCGTATCAGAAGACCGAGTCATTCTCGATCGTCCTCCTCGAATTAATGCCTTCCTCGTCCCTGTGGGTGAAATTCTCGTCGTTCCAGGAGCTGACTCGAGGAAATACAGACGCGTCGGTCCACGACTCGTGCGTATCAATCTTTGGCGGATCAAGCAGGCTTCGTGGAGCCGCTCAAATCCATTAAACTCTCGTCGAGAACGAGAGGTACGCGTCTGCTATGAACTTAACCGTGTTTGATGAAACTTTTCCTCCTCGAAGGAAAATTTGATGACGCGAAAGTAGCCTGACCTGACCTCCCATCCGTCTCTCTCGAGAATGCCTCGCGATACGGCGCCGGCTGACGCTGGATTATGAATATTTCAGTTTTGCGAAACACCGTGGCCGGGTGTGTTCACTGGCACCTGACCGCCATTCCGATGGACGTCCGCTGTTTATTGTTTGCGAACAATGCCAGTGCCGGTGTAATCTTACGGCGATGTCTCTGTTTTGCTTCGATGAGGCTAACTTTGGGTGGAGAACTGCTCCGATCATGACGAAATTTTCTTTCGATTTTTGGATGTATAGGAAATGTTAATGTTAATATTATTCGTCGAATGAAAACTAGCGTGTCTCGAGTCGTTATTCGCAGTCGTTTGGTAATCGATCATTGCTTTCTGTTTTCAGCTCTCTGAGCTCGAGCAGCGGGTCTTGGAAGCGGAGGGCCGAGCCGACGAGGCGGAGGACAAGGTGAGAATAAATTACGATATCGAATTTCGCAATCGAACTCCTGCACCGTGTTTCGTAAGAAACGTAAGAATATTCCACCTGTAATCAAACACCATTCTTTGTATCGTTTGCTCGTTATTTTCTTTGTCTTCTCTTTTTTACAGCTTTCCGAAATATGTTTAAAATAGAAATTTACACCTGATTACATACCCGTATCGAAACCAAGAATAAGTCCGACGATCGGTACCAATCACCTCCACGATCGATACAGGGTTGCATGTCCCCTAATTCTCTTTGCCGTGTCTTTCCACGTCGGTAAAAATAAAGCGCAAGGGGTTCCTGTAAAATATCGATACTGCGTTACCGACCACGAGAAGTCGCCGTCACACGGTACAACTAGGGAAATCGTGAACCATTTCCAGCGAGGCGTGTCTATTGATTTTCTGTCTCGACTCGCTCCGTCAGTCTTTTACCGACGGTTGCCATGTCTCTTACCAACCGTGGGCAATCTCGTTTTGAATTTTGGCGCAATTGCGTGCACGGTGTTCCCGATAGAAGATCGACCAAAGCTAGGCATCGATTTGAATGCCAATTCTGAGAACACAGTCATTCTTATTGTCTTTCAACAATTGAAAGGAATTGCTTGGAAAAGAACATTCTGTTCTCGGCAGTGCCCCCAGAATTTTAACAACGAGAGTACAGTCACTCTCATTGTCCTTAAAAAGTTGAAAGGAATCGAAATTGCAATGCTTATCCAAAGGACGTGGCTCGCATCCGGAAGCTTCGGCTATGAAACTTTAGAAATTTCAGGAGCAGAGTGTGCAAGTGGAACCAACTTCCAGCGCCAGCGTGATAGAGGACAACCCTAACGCGAAACGAGCTTTTGGGGTGACTTACCCTCGTGGTAAAGAGCCAACCATGACTCCAGTCGGTAGCCCGCGTCGGTGTCAGGGCGCATGTTGCGTCTCATTGATTTTCGTGCGCGAGAAAGACGGGGCCACGAGGATGGGAGAAAGACGGGCCTGCCGGAGGAACTTCGGAGGAGAGAACGACTAGCCACCTGGAGGAAGGGTGAGAGGATCGACAATATGGCCGAGCGACCGGCCGGTGAGACCGTCGTTTTGTTATGATCTCGAAAATCGGTCGAGAAGTCGTCGTGGGTTCGTGAACCACGCGCGTCCGCGTCTGGATCGACGACGACAAATCGACGCCCGCGACCTGGCGTCGTACTCGATCCTCGTGGCCTCGATTGTCTTCGACGCGCCGTCGACAAGTTGCACCACCGTGTCTTGAGAATTATGGATCCAGGCAGGTGACATCGATGAAAGGTAACCAGCTCCTTGGAAACCACCTTAATCGCCTTCTATGATTAAATCTCTGACGTTTACTGTTATTCTGTGCGAATCAGTTTTTCAAAGAACTTTATTTACTTGGTTGTTTGTCACACGACGAGAGGAGAAGGAACCTTTATGTCCTGTGCTTTACGAAAACATCCCCATGGGTTGGCTTCTTTGACCTAAAACTTGATCCTCCTATTCCTCGAATTCGAGGAGCACAGGTGTCTTTCGAGCTTTCCGTTGTGTCTTTGTTGTCTATTGTCTCCTATTGTATCCTCGCTCGAGTCGCAAATTGTTCGTCTGAACTCGATTCGATCACGTTGATTCCTCTTGCGGCGAACCGATCTCGCATGTTGAGATGCGCACCCCCGGAAAAAAGAAGACTGGTGAACGATTTACCAGACACAGCCCGACTTAACGACTCGCTTTGACGGGACTTGTCGCGTATAGAATTGGCATGAGGCCAATTTATGAGTAATCCTCGTTTCCCGTGAGCACCCGCGCAATAAACAAAATAAAGGTACCGCGGCAGACGTACGGCGGCGACTTTCTTGCTCCCCCCCAGGCACGCAGGCTTCTTTAAATATTTCAAAGCGGTCGTAGCGCGTTAGACTCGTTTCGATGTTGCTCTTTCTCGTCTTCCCTCGCGATTCTCGCAGAAACTTCCTTTCAACGTCGATAAACGGTCCAATTATCGGTTCATTTTTTGACAATGGAACATGCGCGTTACGCCTCCTTATTTTTTTAACAAAAGAAAGTAGTTGTAACGCTATCTGGCATGAGCCATATTTTCACAAACTATTTCGAAATACTTGATACGCGCGTGTATACATATGTATGCATATATATTTGTATATATATATATTTAAACTAAACTCATCGCAGAACTTAGTCACTGGGAAGTGACAAATGGTTTTGCAGAATCGGTATGATTATTTCAGAGAAATGACGAGGAAAACATGCGCTTCCGTCGTGCTGCCTTTGGGGCGATAAAGTTTCACTCGTAAAAGCGAAAATATAAGGTATACGTGCCCGGATTAGCGGTCCCTTATCGTTGATTCGTGCCAGAGATGGATAGAATTTTATTGAAATAATATAGGACGAGTGATGCAGGTTTTGAAATTTTTAAAACGAATTAAACTTTTTCTAGAACTGTAACCCGTAACCGGTAGTCCTTCCTGAGTCACCGATAACCGATTCGAGTGGTTTGCATAGTAAAAAATAAGCTGTCGGATAAGCTGAAAAGGCTAGATAAATTGGAAAAATGATAGATAACTAAAAATGTTACTTTCCCCTGGTTCATGAATCAGCAGCATTGATCCAGTTGAGAGTATCGACGCGTCGCGTCGTGTTCGAGGGATTAATAGATACTCGGATCGAGGCTTCGACGAATAGAAAATGAGCAATAATTTCCATAGAAGATCTGGCACGATCTAATCTCGAACCGACAACTTGGATCGCATAAATGCCCTCGATAGCGAGGCCGTGCAATTATGTTGATCCCTTCAGTCAACGGTTGCGTTTCTCACGCCATTCGTGGGTCGTTGATCCATTTAAACGCAGCCTCGCGGTCGTCTGTTTTTTCCTGAGGCTCTTTCCCCCCGAAGATCGCGGTTGAATGGATGTTTCTGCATGTACGTGCACATTAACGGGCTTCGTTTTGGCGGGAAGCCAGCGCCTTTCGACGTTGTATCCGAGAATCGAATCGGCGCACGTGCGCGACCGCGTACTGCTTAAAAAAAAGTAACAGACAGGAGCGTTTTCCACAGATGAGCCGTAGAAAAAAAAAAAAAAAGCAGCATTAAATTCCAGTCGAAGGTGTCGATATTTTCGATAAAATCTTGAGAGAGTCGCGCGCCTTTTCTGAAAGATCAGCGCGGATAAGATTCAATTATTCTTGCTTGGCTATTTCTGGTTTCGCAGCAGTTTTGCTTTCAAGCCTGCGCTTCGTGAGACACGAGACGAATCGATAAATCTTAAGATACCTACGGTTCAAAAGTCGCCAGATGCGTTTTCAATCGAACGACGAACTTGCCGTTCGGTTTGTTGTTTTCGAATTAAACAGCTTTAACCTTTTCGCTGGTGAATTCGATTACAGTTGCATAGCTACCCTCCTCTGTTTCAATGAACGCATCAGTTTCGTATCGAAAGCATGTACAGTTCCAGTATACGCGTAGCCTCAAGGGGTTAAATCGGACAATGGAAATTTAGATAACGACTCTACGGACACAAAGGGTCATGTAGAGGTCTGAAACAGAGTATCGGAGAAGCTGCGTCGGGGGTAGCAACCGCTCTGTCGGACGAGGAGACTCGGGGTGGCGTGTGTGCACAAGTTCGCAGGACCTCAACGAATTCTGCCATTGGCCACGAGCCAACGTGACTCATCGCCTCTAGGAAAGACCGACGGAGAGTTTACGTGCATCGGTTTCGTTCAGTTCGGTTCGATCTCCGGCATCGTGCGCACACCGCCCTTCTTCCATCCCTTCTGGTGTCTCCACCCTTTGGAAACAAGGGAAATCCTGGCTCTGGGAGTGTCCTCGTTGAACCGCGGTCGCAGGAGAGCCCTCGAGAGGACCCACCAAGGCGAAGGGCCTAAAGAGATCCTCGGAGCGAACACTCGTCGCGTTATCATGGCCTCTCGTAACCTTGGTAAGCCTCGAGTTGCCACGATGACACACTGCACCCGAAACGGTTCATCGAGAGAGGAAAAATAAACCGTGGATGGGAGGTTTGCCTTGCTTTGGCGGACCAAGGATTCTTTTCTTGTTGGCGATCTAGGAGAATTCTTGTTCGCGGGGCAGTGGCACGTGGCAGATTGGGTGTAGTGGAGTTTAGTATTGCCTTTGAAGTAACTATAACGCTTCGTTTGGGCTGTGACAAAGTTTGGGCTAGGAAACTTTGGCTATCGCGATAGCTATTTTTAGAAGAGTAACACGAAGTGATGACGAGGGGTTTGTTGGTGAGAGATTTGTGGCACAATAGGACCTCTGGCTAATGGCTAGTGGGCACCTGATTACGAAGTGATTACCTTTTGTCTACATCTTCAAAGTCTGATTTAATCTTTTCCACGATACTTATCAATTATACAAAATAATTCCTCCTCGGAAGTTGTTACTTGTCAATAATTCATTACTTTCTCACGTATCGCTCGATATTTTCCATACAACCCCTAAATGTATGAACAAAACTCCAAAACCGTGCGGGTTAAAAAAACGTCTCGTACCTGCTTCTACAAATTCAGATACGATTAGGGTGACAGAGGGTTAAGCGTCCCGAGGAAGAGCGCGGTCGATCCTGGTGGCGCGTGGGAAAGGACGACAGTGAACGTGAAAACGAACAGGATAACGGGTGATCGATATGACTCGCGGGGAGAGCACATGCACCACGATGGTTGTCGGGAGGAAAACACTCGGCCAAGAGGATTTCCCCGCTGGCGTATTGATTTTCTCGATACAGCTCTCCCCTTTTGGCAGTGGACGCTCGGCGTTCAGGCGCTTACGTATGTACTCGTATCCGTGATATCGATTTTTGACAGCTGCTACGAAACGACAACCGCCACCATCGTGTCAGAAAAGGGGTGCACGAGGTCTGCACGCAACGTTGAACCTCTGTCTGTCCCCCTTTGTCGCGTAGCGGGGGCCCCCTGCACGCTTTTTCGCTGTTTACTCGAGGATCCCACGGCTGGAGCCACGCGTCTGCCATGCTTCTCAAAACGCGCCGAAAGCGACGAAAAACGTGACCCCGAGTCCGTTGAAACTCCTGGTATGTACGTGTTGCTTCAACATTCACACTTCGCTCCATGTCCTCGGAAGCGAGTCCGTTATAGAAAACTTTCTCTGGCAAAAGTCTGTCATCGGTTTTCAAGTTTTGGGGGACGAAATCGTTCTAACGGAAATGAAGTAACTGTGCGGAAAAGATGGTTCGCGATGGCCAAGGAAACTACAGACTTGAGCTAAACCTACACCTGTTGTTCCTACGATCGTCATATTTTTATTCGTTTAACGAGTGGCCGCCCTTTTCTGCATACAGTGTAAAAGATCCCGGGCGAACAATGCCTACCAAGTGATTCCTGAACGTTTGAAAAAGGATGACAATCCTCCCCCCCCCCTCCCCCCCAGAAAGGATCCACTGTTCGGTCTCATACACTCGGATATTCCATGAATTATCGATAAGTTTGCATTGGCCTCCACGTTGACCTATATAAAGCGAACAAATCAGTTAATGTTTGAAAAGAACGGAGGTTCTGCGTGCTCGGGAATCCCTTGGCGATCCATCGTCACAGGCCACCCTGAGCCATCTTAGAAATTCGGTGCAGTATGGTTGATGGAGGCAACAATTTCCGTTGCTCGAACAGTTGTTATTCTGTATTATAACGCAGGTGTTTGATGTCTCGCAGGTACGGATGATGGAGGAGCGGCTAGTGAAGGGTGAATACTGCTTGAGCACATCCGGCGTTGGTTCTCCACCGCACTCCCTGCCGTCTACCTCTGGTACGCAGAATGACAAGATCGAGGACGTTCACTGTGCCTGCATCTCGAAGCTAGAGACTCAGGTCGAGGAACAGGTGAGAAATCCTTGGACTCATCAAATGTTAGCACCCGTCATTCGAGTAGTTTCTCGACTTTATATCTTCGATGAAACATTTTGTATACACGTGTATCATTCGCCTTTGAGAGGAATAGCTTTCGAATAGTGTCGTCCTATAGCATGAATCGGTTGAACTGTATCTTCCAGAAATATTGAAAGGTACCACAGTGGATATTTTGTATCGAAGAGCTAGTAATCGTATCGCATGACACGGAAGGTGTTTCTTTGAAACTTTGAATGGAAGAAACCAGCTCCGTTCAAATTTATAGATTCGTTTCGTTTATTTGCAATGATTCAATTTAAGTAGTTACAGTTTACGATAAAGTGCGATAAAGCGCTTCCAGCGGATCAGCTGTCGAGATAACCAACTCACGACCGATATCGGTTGCTTGCAGAGACAGTTACGCCTCCAAGACGCGAGGCAGGTCGAGGCGAAAGCCGCGAGGATAAAGGAATGGGTTACCAATAAGTTGAGGGAATTGGAGCAACAGAATCAGCACCTGCGGGAACAGAATAACAAGTGCAACCAGCAATTGGAACTTCTGAGGAATCACATAACAAATATCGGCCTGAAACCACCTGTGAGTTCCAGCGAACGCATTTGTCCGACAGCTGACGCTTTCATTCTTGAAACGCAGACAGTTAGATGCAGATAGATGCACTCAGTTAGTTGTTCACAAAGTGGTCATCTTTTTTGACGATATCCTACCCTTAGATTTATCTATCCATGTTCTTTTCACGTTCAACTTGACAATCCTGTACTACAGGCACCAACAAGAGCGTCGTTGTCCTTGGAAGTGAATCCCACGCTACGCAGGCGATCAGAGAGCCTCGAGGGAACACCGCAGGCGGTGCCAGAGAGCGTGCAGAGCGCTACAGCGGAACCTCAAGCAGGCATCAAACACCGTAGACACCTGTCCGCTTGCGGGACTATACAGCGAGGAATTGCGGCCACCAACATGGACTCGAGGTAGAATACTGTAAGGAGCTACAAAGAATGCCCCCGAATCCTGTTTGCCGCTCGCAAATTAGTCATCGTAGTAACTTCTTTCGATAGTTGTCGTCGTTATATCTGAATTCCAATCAGGGGCATTCTTTCCAGCTCTCCAGTATACTTGAGCGAAACGTTCTGTGAGCTTCGCGCGCGCCCATTCGCTTCTGCAATCGCTTCCGCGCTTCTGCCAACATTAACAGCCTCTAAAACGTCATGCAAATGTATATTTCGATTCTCCTTGGGAGGTCTCACGACGTGATAGCGGCGCCCGACTCTCGAAACTGTGGTACCCTGTCGCGTCCGGAGACTTCCTGCGGAGATATGTCAACCCGTGTACTTTTATCTATTGCTTCTTAATCTCGAGCATGATGCTTATAGTCGGGTCAGAACTGGTGGGCCAAAGGCACGATTATCGAAAAAAGCTTGACTAAAGAGTCCGGCCTGAGAAAGTCCTGTTGTAATTTCAAGTAGAATAACAGAGTGGCATCTAACGTGACCATTTAAGATAAGAGTAACTAGCCTTGACAATCCAGGTGATGATCTTGATCCGATTGTAGATCCTTCTGTCTTCTTTTAACTTGTTTCCTTCGTTCTCGCTGACGCTAGCGATTAACACGAAGCTCTCGCTAATTACGTACCGATCTAAATGCGTCTGCTGGATGAAATTAGTTCCGTGCTTTATGCTTGCCGTTCGTTTTCTGCTCTAGCCTGCTGTCCGAGGAGCTGGCCGCGGCGGTGGAGAATCTGGTGATGCTGCCCAACATACCTGGCGTCTCGGAGGCCAGTAGAGATAGTGGCAGCTCCGAGGCTATTCACGACTACGCCGAGATATACACGCCAAGCAGGGAAGGTTTGAATTGGACTCAGAGCGCGCAGGGTCCTCGACCTCCTACTCCGCCTCTTCACCGATTTCCCAGTTGGGAAGCCAAGATATATCAGGTAGAAAATAATAAACTATAACTCTTAGAAGTCTCCCTAAAGTTGACAGTACAAACCCCTATACCTAATAATTCCTGTAAGAAAGAATAATCAAATAGTCGACTCTTACGTGGTTACGTAGGGTAGCATTTCGTTGCGTCGAGGGTCGGCAGAATGCATAGTCATGCTCTCGCCGCTCGTTGAACAAGTTTGCAAAGTGTAGAATGAACGAGCCGCGTAATGAGGCATGCGTGGCGTGCATGCTCGCCAAGTTGTTGCAATTTGTAATCAAACAAACGCGACGCTCGTTGATTCCATAGGTTGCTGATGGCGGGCTTGGCATCGGTCCACCGACGAACGAGGAATCCGCGCCATCCACGATGACCAACACGACCAGCTCGTCGAAACATTCCCAGGCAACAGGACACAACTTGACTGCGCACAATTCCCAAGGCTATTGCGATATTTCGGTTCCAGTTTACGCAACGGTCAAGGGTAGGTTGTAAATCTATACCAGGCTATACCTGGATCACTTATCTTCGCACCTATTTAGGACTCCGATCCTAACGATTCTTTTGCATTTTAGGACGAGCCAGTCAAATTAGGTCCATGCCATTCGGTGACAGTTCCGACGATAGCTCGGACGGCGAAGAGCACCCGAATCAAACCGAGACCAACACGAGAATCACCAACAGCTCATCGGATAATACGGACTCTTCCCTTGGCAGTGGAAGTAGCCCGTCGAAAAGCGTAAAAACCACCAGCAGCCTTAGTCCTGCCAAGAACAGCTCTAGCGGTTCTCCTAGCAAGAGCGTAAAACGTGGTAAGCATTCCGCCAACTGTGCACCAAGCACTTGTAATTATATCAAAAGAATACAAGTTGAAGAATTTATTTTCGCTTGTACAGATACCTCTCTGGAGTCTGGCTTATCGGAGGATTACGCGATACCACCCGACGCGCTCAGTTCAACCTCTCTCGAGTCCAGCATGCCAAGTCTGCTGATGCGCGTCTCAGGCGAGAGCCCCAAGAGACAAGAGTCTCTGGAGAAGACTGGTCATCTGGCGAAACTCGGGGGTAAGCTGAAAACTTGGCGGAAGAGATGGTTCGTCCTGAAGAACGGGGTGCTCACATATTGGAAAAGTCAGAACGACGTCAATAGAAAACCTCAGGGTCAAATAGTGTTGGACGAAGTGTGCAGGTACGCTTCGGACCATATCCAATTTTTTTTATCATTTTAATCCAAGTCCTGTAGACGAATAAAAGAGTATCGTAATTCCTCAACAGGATAAATAGGGCGGAGGGTGCTGCTACGTTTGAGATAGCCACTGGCAAGAAGACGTATTACCTGACGGCGGATTGCATTGCAACAATGGAGGATTGGATAAGGGTGCTGCAGAATGTACAAAGGCGGAACGCGACCAAGCTTCTACTCAGTAAGGAGGACAACAAGCCGACGATACAGGGATGGTTGACGAAGGTGAAGAACGGGCACGCCAAGAAATGCTGGTGCGTCCTCATTGGAAAAATGTTCCTTTACTTTAAGTGCCCTAACGATACGGTGAGTAATCGTCGGCTCGATCCATCGCTACAAAGAAAGAAACGTTATAAAACTTGTATTGGCGTCCTTTCAGAATCCTATTGGACAAATAAACATGAGAGACGCGAGAGTGGAAGAGGTTGAACACGTATCCGATAGCGATAGCGAGGAGAGAGACGCCGAATGCCCTCACGAAAGAACGATCGGCATCTTTCCTACCCATCAGGGTCCTACGTACTTGCTGATGCCTCACAAACAGGACAAAGATAACTGGCTGTATCATTTGACGGTGGTTTCGGGAGGCGGGCCTAGCGCGGGAACTCAATACGAGCAACTGGTGCAAAGATTAATGGAAACTGACGGTGATCCTAGTTGCGTCCTCTGGAGACACCCGTTGCTGCTCCATACGAAAGAGAACATCACTAGTCCACTAACCAGCTTGACATCCGAAGCCTTGCAGTGCGAGGCTATCAAGCTATTCAAGGTTTCGATACATGATTTTTCTCTTTATCCAAGCTTGTTGAAAAGTTTGAAACGATTGTCTTTATTTTTGTGTCTTTATCGATCATTCGTGACGTTTGAATATGAAAAGAAACAACATTATTATTTGCACAGGCTTGCCAGTTGTTCATGTCGGTAGCCGTGGAGCAAGCAGGCATAGACTATCATGTGGTACTAGCACAAAATGCGTTGCAACAATGCTTAGACCAGCCTGAACTACAGTCTGAATTCATCTGTGCTCTGGTAAAGCAGACAAGTCGTCACACACAACACCGTTTGGGCGTACAGGTAAAAAAGGCCGCCAGACTTGTGTCGCTGGGTACTGCGCGCGTTGTAAGTCCTGCTTATTGTTTAACAAACACTCTGAACCCTGTACCATTATCACAGTTGACATTCGATTCGCGACTTTGGCTAATGCGTTGGTCTTCATACACAGGAGAACCTCGATTATCTGCACTAATAGACTATTAATAGACTGCTAATAGACTACTAATAGACTATTTGATAAATTATGTAACAATTGTAATCGTCGTGTTCGATGGTATCGCGTTCATTACCTTCGTATTCAAGAAATGGTACATTGGGTATGCTTAGTCAAGTATTATAAAATAATCTCGTCGAAGTAGAACGGTGAACTGTTTGGTTGTCTGTCCCTTTATTTTCTTTTTTCAATGAGACTAACTGATTAATACAAACGCTGTCGTTCGTTTACTACGAACAATAATACTTGACGAAGTTCTTTAACAAGAAAATGATTTTTTAGTTTTAACATTCATTCACAATTCATTTTCATTTGCTGCTTTATATGTGCGCTCTTCCTAGGCTACTCTGAATCGCATGCGTTCTTCTTTGTTTTTCTCGGTTTTTCTTTTCTAGACGTCGTCGTGTTAAGTTCGTTTTCGTTTACATTTTTGTTTCGTTTAAGTTTTATTGCGTACAATTAATATTTATACATGATACCCGATCACCTTACCCCAAATGAGACCCCATCATGTGAGCCGAACATATTTCGACAATTCATAATTCACTTCATTGTCGAATCAAGAAACCATTCTCATCTTCATTCATCGATCACTCATCGATGCATCGAGATCGCGTACTTTCTTTGATCAATTTTTAATATTAAATAGCGTAGCGTTTCGCGATACCTTGTCAAAATACGTTCTGCGGCACACACACTTGCAGAATGGTATGTTGGTGTACATAAGAAACCACACACAGAAAAACATCTTTTTATAGATTGGTTTTTTGTTTCTGTTTCCGTACCGTTTTTTTGCTGAATAGCTCATTACGATATTCTCTGTTTGAATGCTGCTTAGAGAACTCTTAGTCTTTGATCACAACCGGTGTCATAGACGGTTACTTAAGGAAATGAAAAGCTAGAATCCTTACAGATTCGAACGTCCGTCGTAGAATGTAATTCACGAGACTCGAAACACAAGCTGCATAATAATCCAATAATAATTGGATACATGCGACTTCGCAAATCAAAAAATAAAAGTAAAAGAGAGATAAAAAGAAAAGTATGTCTCGTTCATTCGAGCAAACCAAAAGTGCTTTCGAACTGTAAGGTAGACTCACGTAGCCTTAAACAAAAAAAAAGGGAAAAAAAAGATAAACAAAAGCGCTTCTCTCATCCACATTGTTCTTAATTCATTCAGATTGTTGACGGTCCATGCGTTTTTATGTGATTAATACACATAGAGAGTTGATGCGTTTAATGGTCCGATTTCGATTGCTTACATACTAACAGACGTATGACGTAACAATTCACAAGTGTCCCATGACCGAGGACATGAGAATTTTATTTTCCATCCTAAAAGAGTATTCCTTTCAACTTAAATTGGACTCTACGACCTCTAGAGGTTCATGGTTTATTACTACACGTTTGTTTTTGTACTTGAAATAGATTTACAAAGAAAAAAAAACAAATAACTAAGATACGATGACAATCGAATACGAGGAGAGTGGAGCGCGATTTATTTAAAGAAAGTAGTAGACTAGGTCTGGTTCAGTCCAGGGATATAGTAGTATGCCAGCATACCATTGCAGCAGCTCCTCCTCTGCGCCACGCAATCGCTGTTCACCTGCGATACGCAAAGTCCCGCGGCAAATGGCAGCGGTGAAAATGCGGACGCACAATCGACGGCCTCCACTTCTCACAGTCCTCCGCTCACGCAGGGCCACTCGACGTCTACGATTCTGGACTGCAAAACTAATCCCGCCCAGTACGTTCTTATCCAGGGATGGCAGCTACTCGCTCTCGCTGTTTCACTCTTCCTACCCAGGAATAATCGGCTACTTTGGTACCTGAAGTTACACTTGCAAAGAAACGCGGACACCAAGTGAGTGCTTTTAACGTCCCTCGAAAAAGACTATTATATACTTAACCAATGTAACGATCTCTGTCGACCCTAATTAAATATGAATTAAATATAAACATAAAATATCGACAATTAGTAATCCGCAGAATGTTCATTCTAGAACGGAATGTGGCAAGTACGCAGCTTATTGCGAACGAGCTTTAGAGAGGACACTGCAAAACGGTGGAAGAGAAGTGAAACCTTCGAGAATGGAAGTCCTGTCGATACTGATGAAAAATCCTTATCATCATTCCCTACCGCACGCGATACCGGTTCATTTTTTAAACGGCACATACCAGGTTGTGAGCTTCGATGGCAGTACCACGATAGAAGAGTTTTTGAACACTTTGAATCAGGAGATCGGCTGTCGGGACGTCCATCAGTCCGGTTTCACGTTATTCAGCGACGACCCAATTGAAAAGGATCTCGAACACTTTATCGACCTTCAAGCTAAGGTTTGCATACTTGGAAGTTCTACGAGTGAATACTTTAAATGACACTCATTCAATTCTTCTCGTTTCAGCTATGCGATATAATCTCAAAATGGGAAACAGCGTTGAGGGAGAAAGGTTCAGGAAAATTCGAGAATACCAGGGTGATACAATTAACGTACAAATCGCGATGTTACTGGCGGCAGGCGGCTAAAATGGAAACCGATAGGGAGAGACTTCTTCTTTGTTATCAAGTGAATCAACAGGTCGTGCATGGCAAGTTCCCCGTGAATCGCGAGCTTGCGTTTGAACTCGCATCTTTAATGGCACAGGTTCGTCTCGAATATTCTTAATAAATACTTACTAAATAAATAGCTATTTAATCATTCTTTAAATCTACGTATAATCCATGCAGATCGATTTCGGAGAATATAATAACGATAAGGCACGGGGAAGTGGGCCAGGAAGCAATCCGCACCACTTAGTACTTCAGGCCCTGGATAAATTTTATCCTATACGATACAGAACAAACATCACTGCCGAACAATTAAGGCAAGTATAAAGAAAAACTTAATTATCGAAGGTGTGAAGATTAATTCAAATATGACGCCGCATCAGAAAGTACGAATAAAAGAACGTTTTTGTTGTAGGGAGCTACAAGAGAGACTACAAGAAAAATGGATCGCTTTGAAAGGTCGCAGTGTACTAGACTGTGTTCGCATATATCTAACTTGCACCAGGAAGTGGCCTTTCTTCGGAGCGACACTTTATCAAGCGAAAGTAAATATAACGGAAGATTCTTACGGATAGAAGCAATTCGTCTACGATTTCAATGACGATAAGAAAAAATAGCATAAAAATATTCTGTTCCACAGTTGAAGCAAGTCGAACCGACGACCGTGTGGATAGCCGTCTCCGAGGACAGTGTAACGTTACTGGAGCTGCAGACGATGGCGGTGGTGTGCCGTTACAATTACGCGAATATAGTTACATTTGGAGGATGTTTAGATGATTTTATGCTGGTCGCTTGTCCTGACGAAGGAGCCGCGGAACAGAAGCTTTTATTTGCACTTTCGAAACCTAAGGTATGCAGATACTCTCACTCATTAAAAGGTAGCCGAATGAGAGTTAAGCTTTACAGCCATTGACATGTTTTTATACTCCTGCAGATTTTGGAGATAACGCTACTGATCGCCGATTATATGAATGCCTTGGGACACGCTTTACCTGGTACTCCACAAATGAACACGTTGACCCGTAATGGATCCCATCGATCCATCAAATCCACTTTAAGACCCACAACTGGTTTGTAAATATTCATACTTTTGTAATAAATCCAATAAATAATAGCTAAGCAAACATAATTAACCCATCAGGTTCGAGCTGTCTTCCAACACAACCGGATATTTTGAAGTCGACGCCAGACCACCAAAGACCTTAAAAACTCTGCCCAATAGAATTCGGAGGAGAGGAAGCAGAGGAATATTACTCTTGGTTCGTGAAAAGTCTGATCCTGCCAAGGCACTAACTTTATACTCGAAGCTACTACAGCCTGTATTATAACGATTCGCGCGACAAAAAAAAAAAAGATGAGGAAACACTGGTCGAGTGTGTGCTGTAGTTAATCTTTTAGTTGCGTTTTGTGTAAATTAGAAACGATGCTTACGAACGACGTATTTATGTAAATATACCTGACAACATATGCAGAACACATACACACACACATTCTGTGGTCCACGTTACGCGATTCAAACGTGGGTGACTGACAAAAAAAAAAAACCCAATCTAAACGATCCGTAAACACTGCCTAAAAGTAAATTAGTATGTCTGAATTAACATCGAATAGTTACGTTGGAAAGCTAAGGCATCGTGCTGAAGACTTTTTGCTACCGTATTTATATACCAAATTCAAAACGTTTAGCCGTAAGGTAAACTGCTACGTGAAAGTGGTGTATCACATACTATGTACATAATTAATCGGAGTTACTGGATGTTTAGAAGTCTAGCGAGTGATGCAGCGATACTTTAGTCTTCGATATGAGAGTACGCCAAGAAAAGATTCTTACTTCTTGCCAAATCGACCCGCAATTCACGTTCGATGGGTTGCAACGGAACATATTGCAGCTGCAAAATGAGAACGCACGTGATCGTTATTTACAGTGGAGTCTTTTATGTAAACTAATTTGAGATTAAGAGTGTTCGGATAAAAGAATTTTCACATAGAACAACTGGTCAGCACTCAATTTTATTTAATACTTAAGAAAACATGGAGTATAATGGATACAATTTGATTACAGATAATTTCATATATAAAGTAAAAGATAAAAAAGAAATAATATTGATATAACTGAATGTTTACATAACGAAGGTTCTACTGTACTTGAAAATAATACACGATTTTTTTTTAGCGAATTTTTGTACGTATTGTGTCGTAGATTCGAGGTACAGATTCCGATAATTATTTTTTGTCCGTGCAACAATCTACGTTTCGATTTCGAGTGTATTATACGCGATTAATTCTTTCTTCGTCGATCCGCTACACTTTACACATTTGATCTTTTCTTAATATCAATTATTGGAAGAGATCGATGATGGACAGCGAGTACATACAGTATTGAACGTAGGTCTCATCAAAGCTCAATCGTTAAGGGGAACTCTTCATACGGAAAAAAAAAACGACGAACGGAACTTACATAATTGTCACATGTTATTTTGATAACAGCTAGTCTCATATTTTATATTTATTTAACGTCTAAGCGAATAAGTTCGTTTTATATAAGGACACGACCAAATAGATGTAATGGGAACGCATTTTTCTTTGACAATTAGTATCGTTCCTGTGTAATGTATGTGTAACAACACTTTTGTACTAATTAAACGGTGAATCCCGTCACTATAGAAGTTTTGTACGCGCTTGACGTGTCCTACGTAACTAGCAAATGTCTTCCTTCTCTTTAGTAACCAGAAATAAATAGATTAATGAAAAAAAAGAAAAAAAAAACAAGTTGAGAGTAGGGCTTTCGTGCAATATGTACAAGACTTCTATAATTTTGTAATTCCTGGGATAGGCTGAGAATGACTGTGCCTCTCTGAGCAGAATAGACAAAGTAACTCTATGCACGGCTTCGTTTAGCGCATTGAAGATTTTATATAAAAAAAATGAAACGATCGAACCTCAGATTACTGGGAGCAGTACAAAGATATCCAAGAACGACATTTTGTCTTTAATTTTTATAATACGCAATCAAATGCTACTATTCAAGGTGCTTCGTCACCTTTGTATCATGATGCAGTAAAGTCACTGATTCTGTAAATATCACGTTAGGCTTAAGTTTCTAGTTTGTAGTAGAGAGAGAAAACAAGGGCAGCTGATAAAATGAAACAACGGTCATTGGAATTTCCTATGACTGTTGAGGCTGTCTGCGATTATTCTACTGAGCCTACCACATTACATTTCTATTTATTATTTATTCGCATAAAATGACGCATAAAAGGCACGAGCGAGCGGTGTATGGCAGAAAGCATTGTACTATTGTACAGAAAAAAGAAATAAACTGCTCGGATCTGCACTTTAAGAGATTATTTATTCACTTTAGATGTCAAGCAAATTTCACCACAATAAGAATAATAATTATTTCGATTATACTTGGGAGAGTGTCATTCATTTAACATGGCTTCCTTAAAAATATCTTTGTACATATATTTAATCTACTTCTTCTGGTCTCACAGGATGAGTTAAAGGTATCACCGATTTTTTCTTTACATCCCTCGATAATGCTTTCCTCATATCTGAAGTAAACATACAATATAATTAACTGTGAAGTTTAATCAATCGATAAATAAAGAAGTATTTACCAAAGGCATCTTCGTCTGGATCTCCATTATAGTATTCTAAAACAGTCCTGTATACAATATATCCCAACTGTTGATACATTTTGATTGCAACTTTATTACTGACTCTTACAAAGAGGTCTACAAAATAAGCTTGCTTTCTGTAGCAACATAAAGTATTCTTACATTAAATATTTACAATATTCTGTAATTCTGAAACTCTATTATCGCTCAACTTACTTTTCTGAAACCTCTTCCAAAGATTTTATCAACATTGCAGCTAAGCCTATTCTTCTATAATGAGGAGAAACTGTGAGGGCTGTTATGTGACCATGCCAATTTTCTCCATGGCCTTCTGCCTTTCCCATAACTTTGATATTTATCAAATAAATCAAACATCTAAGTCTTGCACTTGTTCTTAAAGCATGCAGTGTACGATACGTGAAATCCCATCATGGGAAAAGCGAAACTTACTGTACCCCATAATTTCACCGCTAGGCGACTCAGCTACCTGAAAATATTCTGGCCAATGCGCCAAATAATGTGTGTAAAAGGAAAGTCCATACTACGGAGCAGAAGAATCTTAAGGAAAAAACCATTTGAAAGTGACTATACAGCGTCAATATTAATTATTTGTATTAAATAACAAATCCGTTGAAAGGATACTGTTTCCGTAAGTGGATCCAAATTGCTATAAAATAAGTAAAATTGTTAAGATATTAAATAAATTAACGTCTCTTAGGTTATAATCACTAACGTTCTTTGACATGTATATGCTTTTAAACTTACACGTTGTTGAATTTGAACAAATCATTGCATGTAAAAGGCCTGAGAGTTGTCATGTTAAACAAATTTTGAAGAATTACGCAAACAAATATAGAATTAGCGCAATCTCGCAAAGACAGTATTAAAGTTTAACCTTAAATTTTAATGCTCATGGGGGCCGCCATATTTATTTAAGTACTGCCGCGCCGGTCATGGAACAAGAAATCGCCATCTAGCGCCGGCGACCGAACTAATTTTCCACATGTGTTCATATTCTTTACTTTTTTCTGCATATTCATATAATTGTACATCGTAATTATCATAATTCAACATCTAATTGTTGATTTGTACACTAATAATAAGTTTTTTAAATAAATAAAAAACCGAAAAATGTGGCGCCATCTCTCAACGCACTGCCCAAGTTGGTCGTGAAATAATTTCAACATTATGCCGCTAGATGGCAATGCAAAAATAAATATATTCGATACTTGAATGCTCTTCTACTTTTCTCTGCATATAAATGTAATTTTACATCGTAATTATCATAATTCAACATCTAATTGTTGGTTTGTATACTAATAATTGGCTGATATCAAGTTTTGTAAATAAATAACCGATCGATGTGGCGTCGTCTCTCGGCAAATCGCCCAAGTTCATCGTGAAAATAGTTCCCACTGTTTCTCTATATTCTCTTTTGAACATTTTTGAAAGAAGGAGATGAGACAAACATATCGCCAAACTTCACATTTATTCGAAACCTAGGGTTTCGCCCATTTCTGGACGTTGGACACGTCCCGAATTTCAATTGGTAGAATAATCTAGTGACCCGCATTCTACCCCTTGAAAGATAGGATGCATCCAATACCAGGTGTAAATATATATCGATCCATTGCGTATGTACACCACTTGAATTTTCAATTATAAGATTGGTGAGACTGAAATCAGTTAGTTATAATTTGTACGGTAACATACGGTAACGGCCACAGTTTTGAGCAGTTTCAAGGTTTAGAGAAGAAGGTGACTAATTGCAAGTGGAGAGAGCGATGCAATATCAGTTATAAATCAAACGTACACAGAAGAAACTTTTATTTATAATTTAACAGACGATCTTTCAAAGGAAATAAAAATTGGAATTTCTGGATCTTTATACAAAGTTTGATAGTTTATATTTTGGTGTGACGGTTAACAACGTAGCAAGATGACGAGGAAAGGTACACGAATGGTTTGATCTACATAATAGTATAAATCCCAGGCGAAACAAATAAATTTAACAAATTCTTTAATAATAAATATAAAATATACTTGTTTTTGGCGCATAGAAAAGGCAAAACGAACAAGTACAGGAAATACGAGAGCGTCTAGTTCACAACAGCAACCCAGTGGTGCACAACAACAACAAAGGCAGCCATCTGCTGGTATCTAATTGCTTTCGTTTAGACAATAATATTAATGTCAAAGCAAACAGATAATCTAAGCGATTTGTTAGTTTAATAATAATAATAATAATTCCAAAACTAACTTATCTTTATTAACAAGGTGTCCAAACTTGCCCAAGCCAGCACAAAAAAGAACCTGCGCAAGGACAGCAACAACAGCAGCGTGGTAGTGCCCAACTTAGGCCAGGGCAACCACAACAGCAGCCTGGTACTTCACAACAGCAGTCTGGTATTGCACAACATGGACCAGGGCAACCACAGCAGCCTGGTACTTCACAACAGCAGTCTGGTACTGCACAACATGGACCAGGGCAACCACAGCAACCTCCTGCTGGCTCATGGCAGCAGAAAGCACCATTTGGAC